CCTGTTAACATAAACATATTCATCTTGTGATGGAGCTTTTATAGCAATGTGTGTGAAGTTCATAGCTTTGATTACATCAGGAAAATTGTCTATCACTGCAAACTGTGCTTTAATGTTGGTCTGTTCAGCTGCATTGTGGGTAATTTGATATTCCTGGTTGACATACGAATCATTCCATCCTGCACAGCTGGCATGGCTTGGCTCAGGGTGGACTGGCTCAGTCCTGAACAATTTGCCAGCTCCCCCTTGAATGACCCTGTTGCTATAGGAACCCCAGTGTGGTCAGAAGCTTTATGGGCACGTGCAGTGCACGGCTCCTCACTGTGTCGTGCTCCAAGACTGGCTGCATCTCCAAGCACAGTTCCAAAAGGATTGACATTGGAAAACTGGAATGGCTGATGAGCCAGTTGTCATCGTGGTCCAGAACAATCCTAAATCCTCTAATAACACTAAAACTGTTGATGTTAAAGGGATTTTATATCCACTCCTCTAATTTATATATGTGGATGTATGAATTGTTCCTCATGTATGTCCGGTGTGTAGTTTTTGCCATCATTACACTTAGGGTATTTTTAGTTTAGTGTTTTTCTTAGTTCATATCTTAGATCTTATTACTGTTTTACTTTTACATTTTATACTTTTGTTGGATGTAACTGGGACCCTGTGTACACAATTTAGTTCCACTACATGCACCACATGTGGTGCGTGTGACAAATAAAGAATCTCTGATTAGCAGTTTCCCAGCATCACCTCTAAGTGTCACCAACAGATCAATAACCATAGCATCGTGCATGCGCCAGCCATGAAGTTGGCGTGAGGCTGCTCACATTTCCACACATATTTCATTCTTGATACATCGGAAGTTTTGCATGAAAAAGGCGTACACCACATTTTAGTGCGTCCGCACTACATGATGCCCCAGGTGCAAACAGGACTCCTGTTTAAAATGTTGCAACTTCCATTAGCATTGTTACAAATATGATCAAAAACTCAACAGCAGAGTGTTCACAAATGCACAAGTGTTGTTTAAACTAGTGTTCATAAAGTACATTGGTGATAATATAACATATTTGCCGACAGTCGTGATTTTAGCCTCTTTTTGGGGGTGCTCAAGCGCCCCTAAATTTTAACTCAGCACTCCTGAAAAATTTAAAGATCATCATTATGATTTTGTAAGGAAACTCAGTTCTCAAACCTTAGATTCACCAAAATATTTAATAAATTTAGAATAAAAATGGAATAAATGATGACAATCTTAAACAGACCAGCACTGGTGGAGAAAGTACTCAAACACTGTACTTAAGTAAAAGTACAAATAAACAGACAAAAATGTACTCTAGTAAAAGTAGAAGTACCACATTAACATTTTTACTTAAGTAAAAGTAAATAAGTACTTACTTTTAAAATACTTAAAGTATTAAAAGTAAAAGTACTTCCTAATTACATAATGCAATGGTCTACATATCTTTAAGTGTGCCCACCGTATGTATATTTTCTGTAATGCATTAATAGTGTTGAGCCATTTTACTGAACAATGCTGCAGATAATACATATTTTTATTGTGTTTACTCTGTGACACCAGTCACACTTGGACTTGTGATTCTGTGCGTCAGAATTTCAGGGATGACCTACAGAGTTAAATGTCATTAATCAAAATAAGAAAGAGGAATGATTATACCTTTGAAAGTTTTTATTTAACACAAAGCAAAACCAATGTGTCATTTTAACTGCAGTAAACACATTTAAGTAAAAGTTGTCTGCCTGAACAAAAGGGGCATTAGACACAACTAACAAAGGAATAGACTCTGATCATTTCCACTGATATTTCAACTCCAGTTTGTCATCAACTCTAGTTAAAATACTGTCTATTCAACCTTGTAATGGGTCAATATTGAACAATATTTTAACTTCCTGACACCATTTTTAAAACTTGGACCTGAGTGTCGAGCCATTTGGAGACATCTCTTGTCTCCTAACATCCCATGAACTGACACATTTTAATATTGCAGCAAGAATTTCTTGTTCAAGTTCAGAAGAAGTTGTTTTCAAAGATTTTTGAGTCCAGTCTGGCTCTTTTGGGAGAATCTGTCCTGTTGTACTGAGCAGTCTTTCAATAAGGCCATGGGTGGCGTGTATCTTCTGACTGACTCTCTTGCGGTGGAATATATTTTGAGTGTGCTAGTGGTGCTGTGGGTGCACCCAGCTTAATGATATATATACTAAAATATATGTAATTGGCCCAGCTCTTCTTGAAGGCAGGCCTAACGTTACCTGTCCACTTTGCTGTGATTCAATGGACCAACTCCCCTCTCACCATTTGTTACTTTCAAAGTAACAAACAAATCAAAAAGCCGCAACATGAATGTAACTTGTAATGCAACGCGTTATAGAAATGTAGTGTAGTAGAAAGTACAGATACTTGATGTAAAATGTAGTGAAGTAAAAGTATAAAGTACTCACATTTAACTCTACTTAAGTAAAGTACAGATACATGAAAAATGTACTTAAGTACAGTAACGAAGTATTTGTACTTAGTTACATCCCACCACTGCAGACCAGTAAAATCTATGATTTCTTTTGCATGAGTCGGATCCTCAATGCCACCTGTCAATCAGTCCAGTAGGCTCGTCAGCAACTGACCAATCAGCAATCACAATTTTTCCTGAAGAAAAACATCATTTACCTGCAGGAGCTCCACCCCCTTTTGATCCAACAACATTGTTGGGGTGTTGCATTACGAATGCTTTGTGGTCTGAGGGATTTCATGAAAAATCAGAGAAAATAGTTAAACGTTGTCAGTGGAGAACATACAATTCAGACACATGTTACCCGGAGCATTTAGAGTTGAATACAGTTTATTACATTTCACAAACTAAACAAAGTTCAGAAAAATGTAAAAGATGATAAAGGCCGGTGGATGACCCCATGAGCAGCTGAATACAACAGTTATAAACAGGAAGTACATGTTTGTCTGTACGAAGGTAACTGCAGGTAAATCCTCCATTTCTGTCATAATTACATTGTATGCTTAATGGTTAAATTAAAGGTGAATGCTTGAAGTTAGTTGTGCTTTGTTTTGTGTGTTTTATATGTAGATATATGTTTTAACTTCTGGTTGTGTAAGTTTAGTCTTTGTTGAAACTAAACTGATTTTGTACAGTGTTTAATAGGTTGTGTAATGCAAAATTTACACTCTTACATACTGAATTTCACTGCAAGTTTTTGCCCTGTATCGCTCTGCGGAATGAAAATGTCCACTGCAGTAACTATTTTAAATTATTAGTAGCTTGGAATTTTTTCTTGCCTGTCTTCTTTGCCTTAAAGTTAGCTGATAAGGCAGAAATGCTCACTAAATGCTTCAAGTAACACTGTGAGCTTCACTACCTCCACCATTACAACTATCTTTGTTTGTTTGTTTGTCCGAGGTTAGCCCATCCTCGGTTGCATTTCCTCATGGGCGGAGCGATTATACCATTCACGTAAAATATTTGATAAGGTTCTTATAGAAACAACTCCTGAATGTTGTTCATACTGTGTTAGTTGTACTTGTGTTAATATTACATGTTTGTCTCTTTACCCTACAACTGGCTAGGAAGCATGAGAGAAGTGGAGCGTGCTCTATTCACACAAGGAGAGCTGTTGGTCAGGCAGGTCTTGTTGAGCCATTAACTCTAAAATATTTATTGAATCAAGTGTTTACTTGTGTAGGTAAAACTAGATGTTAAACAACCGTTAAAATACACCAGAATATGGGAAATGGCATCTACTTTATTCAAAATTTTCTGTGGGAGGACCCCAAGAACCCACATCATTGTGCCCCCCCCCCCCCCCCCCCCCCCCGCCCCCCCCCGCCCCACCACCCCCCCCCCCCCCACACACACACACACACACACACACACACACACGTTACAAATGCTTCAGATACCAATGGTCACTGCGTTGTTCAAGCCAAGAGCCACTGTCATCTCTGGGGCCTAAGTACCCCTAATAATCAGATTTTAGAATCGCCCCTGTTTGCCAAACATAGTGACACAAGCTCTGTGATCTGAGATAACGTCTCTTTCTGCACTTTGATCCTCTACCCAGAATGCAGCAGAGGAAGGATCAATTATTTACTGGAAGAGATGTTTCATGTGACACTCGAGTGTGGCTTGGAGTTCACTTTGTGGGAAGCCAACAGGTTTTTAATTGTATTTTAAAAGAACCAGCTCCGGCACCAGCCATGTTCTAGAACTGCAACATCTGGAATAGAAAATCTCTATTTGAAGAAGAAAATGTATTATTCTGAGAGGACCAATAATATAAATCCTAATTAAAAATTGATTGCATCTGCCTTAAAACAATTCCAGTCCCCCAAATTTCATGCAAAGGGTATTTTATAAACCTTTACACTTCCATCACTTTACCTCTTTCTATGATATTCTCTAGGTTTTCTTGCTAACTGTAGCAGCAGTGAGCTCTGACACTTTCATTTGCCTCCTTGGGTCACTTGTGGCAGGAAGCATATATTTCTGGTTTTAACATTTTAAGATTGATTATCTTAAGATGGCAAAATTATAAATACTGTGTATATATACTTGTATATACAGTGAACCCTCGTTTTTCACTGAGGTTACGTTCCAAAAAGAACCCGTGATAGGCGAAATCCGTGAAGTAGTAACCTTTATTATTTTTTACAATTATTATAGAATGAAATACTCCATAATACATTCAAACCAAAGAACAAAACCTTTTACAGGCCCAAGCATTTGTTTAACAAATAAAAGTACTGTATAAACAATTTTTTACAAATAACTACTGTACTGGACAGACTGTTTAGCCAATCAGAATGCAGAACACAATGCATGATGCAAATCCGTGAAGCAGCGAGACCGTGAAAGGCGAATCACGTTATAGCGAGGGTTCACTGTATATATATATATTTTTTTTTTTTTTGGTTGTTTTTATATTTTTATTTATTTTATTTTTTTCTAAAAACTGTGACTCATGTTCTTGTACAGGTCCAAGCTGAATTAAAGAAGCGCTGGCAGCTTTTTTTGTTCACCAATCACTTCAAGGCCCAAAGCTGTTTTTCGGGCGTGGACCTGAAGCATCTGTGGAAACGTTCTCGAGGGCGACACCCACAGCGCTCCCAGAGGTGCGTCTCCTACAACATCGGCAGCACTTTGGCACCTCACCCCCAACTTCTCCAAGTGACTGTGCACGGAGGCGTAGGGGTGCTTGGACCAGGAGAAGCGAAAGGTTCGGGGCTAAAGGGCTACGATGCTTCAGGGCTGGACTTTCTTACTAGAAAAAGTCTTTCTAGCAGTGATGGAGAGATAACGGGAGAGACCATGGAGGAGATTCTGGAAGAAAGCCAATTCTGATTCCAGCTGCTTTACATCACCCATGGAAGAACATAAATTAAATACTTTTTCACCAGTCTTCATTTACCCAACCAACCCCAAAAAATAGATAAAAATGGATAAATTAAGGAACAAAAATGCATCTTCATATTTTTGTTCTGTTCTTGAAAGGCAATGGGATTAAAGTTACACTCCTGAGATGTGCAGGTATTTTTCATGTAATTGAAATGCCTTTACTTTCCCACCATGATAACTCAACCCTCAAATGCAATCGTCATTTCATATTCTCTTGCAATTTCTCTGTAGTTGATCCAGACAAAACAAGCCTCCTCTGATCATAAAGATCCTCATTTCATCTTCATGAAATTAGAGACGGGTGAAATAAGATGATGAAATAATCTGGCATGTTGACTGTTAATCTTAGGAGGAAGTTAAGACCATCATACTGCACTGGTACCTGAGGTCTGAAGTTTGAGCCCACCAGGACACGGTGCCTCCTCACACCAAACCTCCGTGCATGACAGCGTCAAACCTGGTCCCTCAGAGCAGATCTGCCTCCATCTTAGCAAAATGGAGACAGTCAAAAGGACATGAAGAGTTAGGGTTAGGTTAGACCCAGACAAGAGGGGTGATTGCATCTAAAATACAAATTATTGTTGGATGGGACACTGGGAGACAACAGGAGGACGTGTCCTCACACAGGAGAGCAACAGATAGGCAGACGAATGGCTCGGAACCTGAGATGGCGCCAGAAACTCTCTGATTAATTTCTTTAGAATGTCTAGATTGTTTTCTCTCAAAAGGTCACGAGGGCCATGGGTGACCCCAGAAGAGCCAACATGAAGACCTGGCCAAACCATTGAACTGGTAACAGAGACATGTCTGGCAAGCTTCCATATTGAGTTGTTGTGAAACTAATGGCAGGTTTCTCAAAACATGAGAAGTTTGTTGATTTCAGGGAAATTTTTCCCATTTTGACAGGAATCACTCAACACCAAAATAAACAAAGAAAACAACAACAACAACAATACAGTATGTATATGTATATATATAT